AAATCTGCATTCTGCTGGGCTGGGCTGCAAAAGCGCCGGTGGTTCTCTTTGTGCCACTAGCACAGCTTGGTTGGGGATGTAATTTGAGTAGAGCGGGGTCCCCAGGAATCACCAGTGCGGGGCCAAGGGCAATGGTGTCTCCACGTCTACTCGCCTCTCCGCAACTCAGCGACTCGCGTCCCCGAGTGCCGGTGAGCAGTTCCGAGAGTCAGCCACTCTCGCTCTCCTGGGTCGTTCCAAAGCTGTCCCGCTTCTCCCCGTAGGGTCTGGGACCATAGGATCCCGCCCCAAACACGCTCAGTGGATTTGAGAGTCCGCATCCCCTTCTGATTGAATAAAACCTCGCATCCAGTTGCAGCCAGCCTGGCGCGTGATTCCATACCTCCGTTCTTGGAGCCTCTGCACAACCTACTCAGTCTCAATGCTCTTCTTTCTTTCCTTCCAGTTGTAGAGCTTCCACTGGGCCAGCGTTCCCATGGCTCTGAATGACAACTGTTTCTTTTATAGTTGGTAGTCTCGATGTTGTTGTGGGAGGCAGCACACACAGGTCTGTACCTTACGCCACCCCCCAGACACACACACTCACCTCACCAGCAGTTCTCAACCTGTGGGTCTCCAACCTGTGGGTCACGACCCCTTTGGGGGTCGAACGACCCTTTCACAGGGGTCGCCTAAGACCATCGGAAAACACATATATAATTACATATTGTTTTTGTGATTAATCACTATGCTTTAATTATGTTCAATTTGTAACAATGAAAATACATCCTGCATATCAGATATTTACATTACGATTCATAACAGTAGCAAAATTACAGTTATGAAGTAGCAACAAAAATAGTGTTATGGTTGGGGGTCACCATAACATGAGGAACTGTATTAAAGAGTCGCGGCATTAGGAAGGTTGAGAACCACTGCTTTATACCCTCCTGGTTTCTTTGTCTCCTAAATATGGGTCTTCCGGACCTTTTGCAGGCTTTTCAAAGAGCCCTATGTACTGGGATGGGGGCAGAGTGCTTAGTAGATATCTTGCAGGAAGCTTGTAGCCTTGAGCACAGCATAATTCAGATAACTAAAGACACCTGGCATGGGAGTAACCAGGGACGGACCAGACCCTTACGTCAGCAGAGCGGCTTGCAGGACCAGATAATTGAGCTTATCATCCCTATTATTCAAGCAAGCGTGTTTACAGAAGCCAGGAATAGCAGAGTTAATTAACAGAACAAAGGACCATCTATGTTTAGTGAAAAATTTTAAACGGCAATTCTAACAAGATGGGGTGCCTATGGTTCAAAAGCAGCAAAATTCATCATACATGCCTCTCCTAGAGATATAATGAGGTGTTTGATGATGTCCGGTTGCTGCTTAATAATGATAATCTTCTCAGGGAAGGAGCAGCCCAAGCATTTGCACAATATAACTTGGACCAGTTACTCCAGTAAAAATTGAAGGTGATGAAGATCAGGTATCGATAACAAAACATGGCGACTTGAGAAATGGAAAGTTTTCGGATCCAGAAAAACAGAATCTGTTTCAAATTTGATCACTTTAGAAAGGAAGCGACTGATCCAAGACCGTATGAAGCAGAGAATGCAATTGAATCATGGAGAACTTGAGTAGAAACGGCTCTGCGAGCTTACGTAAAAGAACATATCCGCATGGGGTCTGTACTGTATGTGGTGAAAAATATATGGACAGCAAACCATTATTGCATGCACAGAGAGCCATCAGTTCCAAGCAAAAAACTTTTGGAATGGTCATTGGAGGTCAGAGTGGAAGTTTACAATCACTCCTTCAACCACTCAAGTGGTTGGCATCTTGAAATTTCAGGTTCATTATTATGAAGATGGTAATGTTCAGCTAGTGAGTCATAAAGATATGCACGATTCCCTCACAGTGTCTAATGAGGTGCAAACAGCAAAAGAATTTATAAAGATTGTAGAAGCTTCAGAAAATGAATGCCAGGCTGACATCAGTGAGAACTTTCAGACCATGTCGGACACTACTGTCAAAGCCTTATGTCGACAGTTGCCAGTTACACGCACTCAGATTGATTGGAACAAGGCCCTCAGCTGCAAGCTTGGCAAAGAGATGCAGAATGCATAAGATGAACACTGCGTGATCGGATCATTTTAGCGGCTTTGTGTTTTTATTTATTTATTAAAATACATTTTATTGATTTCAAACAGGAAGGGAGTGGGAGAGTGAGAGAGAAACATCAATGATGAGAGAGAATCATTGATAAGCTGCCTCCTGCATGCCCCCTACTGAGCATCCAGCAACTTGGGCATGTGCCCCTGACTGGAATCGAACCTGGGACCTTTCAGTCCGCAGGCCGACACTCTATCCACTGAGCCAAACCAGCTAGGGCTCTTTGTGTTTTTAAAAATATTATTGCAAAATTATTGAACTATCAAGCTACCCAGTCAGGTGGGCTATTGACATTTAAAGATCACTGTAATTAGTTTGGTTAGAGCATGAAGCTTAGCTAATCAGCCATTATTTTTCATTTCTTTTGTTCAAAGAGGATTGAAAATCACTTTAGTTTAAATGTCTTTCACTTTTTGTTATGCCTTTCTTACAATGAAGAAACGATTCCTCTAGTTTAATGTTAAAAGTTTATCAAAAATATTTTACTTACCATAAACCTAAAATTATTGTCTTTTGGTTTATGAAGTGTGTAACTTCTGATATTTGCCCAGTTCTTTTTAATGGGGTCAGTTATGGGCTTTCCAGTTTAAGGTGTTCGATGGATTAGCTGTAGATGCTGCTAAAGAAATTGTCTGCCATTTCCCCCTTACCTCTTCCAAATATGTAAGATTGAGATGAGAGGGAAAACATTTTCTATACCAATTGTGTTTAAAGCTTTCAAGCAAGTTATTTAGCTAGTTTAGTGTTTAACAAACCTTTTTTTAAAGCAATGCCAAGGGCTAATGCTATTTTGAGATTCTAAAATTAAATGAAAAACTTATTTCGGAAATACATTTAATGCTTTTTTTCTTGTGTTATGCAAATTAGCTTGAGTTAATTTTATCATGAAGCCACAGATCTATATATATAAAAGCCAGAGTGACCGAGCAACCAAGCGACTGAATGACCGAACACCGAACAGTCGACTGGTCGCTATGATGCACATTGACCACTAGGGGGCAAGCACTCAATGCAGGAGCTGCCCCCTGGTGGTCAGTGTGCTTCCACAGCAGGAGAGCCGCTCAGCGAGCTTAGCAAGCAGCAGCAGCCACAGGCACAGTGGGGCTGGGATAAGCAGAGCGGCACTGGCTCCTCCCCAGCTGCCTGCAGCTTCCGGCTACTACTACATCCCTCAGGGGATGTGGGACTGCCGGTTTCGGCCCGGTCCTGGATCGCGAGAGGGTGCAGGCCAGGTTAAGGGACCTCACTGGTGCACAAATCCCATGCACCAGGTCTGTAGTGTATTATAACAAAGGCAAACTGTAATCTCTATATATAAAGAGCCAGGGGTCATCGCAACAGAACGAATGACCAAACGGACGCCCAAACAGGCTGAGTGGAGCGACCAGGCCAGCAGGCTGTGTGGGGCGACCAGGCTGGCAGAGGGGGGCAGTGAGGGGCGACCAAGCCAGGAGGGGGGGCAGTTGGGGGCAACCAGGCAGCAGTGGGGACAGTGAGGGGAGACCAGGCTGGCAGGGGGGACATTGGGGGTGACCAGGCCAGTGGGAGGGGCAGTGGGGGGCAACCAGGGGTGATCAGGCTGGCGGGGGGCCAGTAGGGGCATTCAGGCAGGCAGGCAGGTGAGCAGTTAAGAGCCAGCAGTCCGGATTGTGTGAAGGATGTCCAACTGCCGGTTTAGGCCCAATCCTCAGGATCAAGCCTAAACCAGCAGTCGGACATCCCCGGAGGGGTCCCGGGTTGGAGAGGGTGCAGGCTGGGCTGAGGGGATTTCCCTTTCACCCCCCGTGCACAAATTTCGTGCACCAGGCCTCCAGTATATATATAATCCTGAACTCATGACCATGTCTCATTTGTGTTTTTTTTCTTGGATTGAAAAGTACTGAAATTCAATGTGACATTAAGATGAAATTTTTTTTTTTATTTATTTGAGTAGAAAAATCACTTACTAGTGGGTCATATATTATTTTAAAATACTTTCTCTAAAAATTGTGGTTCTTAACTGGTTGTAAATTAGAAAAGCTGCGAGTACATAAGGTGTGCAGTTACGATCTAAATTTTTTCCATCTTCCTGTGCATCATACGCATGTTTATAATATTTTTAAAAATACAATTACTAATGCTACAAGGGTTTTCAAGCCTACGGTGAATGTTAGTATTTACTATAGGGAGTGGATTGGATTATGGTTTTATCAATCGAGTTCCTCACACACTCCTGCAGATGTCTGGGCCTGGAAATGTTATTTTAAATATATCACTTTTATTATGCACAACAAAATATTTCATTGGCTTGAAAAAAAACGGAGGATAGTTATCCACAAGGATGTCAGGGCTTTGTCAATTATAGCCTTTGTGTCGTGATTAGGACGTTGGCATCATTTAAAAATTCCTTGGGAATGAAAATGAAAATGGATGGATTATTTATCGGTGTACCTAAAATTTAAAATCAGAGCCATTCATTCTTCATTAGTAGAAGCTACTAATCATAGGTAATCACCTAGTATGTTGTGAACAGAGCTGTCGGCACAGGTTTACTTTTGTTTTTTTGCTAATATTTGAACAAAATCATCCTATTTACTATTGGAAAGAAAGACAATGGGCAACTATGCCTGATGCATTTCTTCTTTTATAATTAATGGCGTACTCAGCTTCTCCTCTCAGAAAATCTAATATTAATACCTTGATTCTTAAAACACTATCACAAGTAAAAGTTAAAATACATACAAAAGACAAAATTGAAGTAAATATCAGGTTATAAAGGGTCTCATCACTAGTCTTATATTTTAAAAGTTTATTGAGTAGTTTATACATCAAAACTAAAATGCATAATTAGAAATGAAAATATTGGCATTTGAAATTTGGAGAGCATGGCTGGAATTGAATGTTTTAGGTCGTATATTTGTGGATGTTTATTGTCCTAGGAAGGTTTCCCCACCACCTCCATATCTTCAAACCTTACAAACAAAAAGATGTAGAAGACTTTATATCATTATGCCAATGTATACGGCTTCATACAAATCACAGAGATACCACGTTTAAGAGTTTCCCAAGGCAATATATTGAAAGGACATCATTTCTAAACTCAGGACAGACATGAATGTTTTATGAACTGCTGAGAGAGAGACTTCCCCAGAGGTGTCACTCTGTACCATCTTTGTTACTGAAAGACGAAGAGGCATGAAGTGTCTAGTGGGGAAGCACAAGTTCATAATCATGCTCCGGGGTGCAGGGCGAACGCCTGGTGATGCACGTCCTGAGGAGGGCATATTCTGTTTCTTCTTTAAACGATTTCACTCTCTTTGTGACGGAGTCAATGTTCTCATAGCCGTTGTCATTGGAACTCAAGGAGGGCTTGTGATGAGAGCGGGGGCGGACGACTGTGTAGCACACTTCTTCGGAACCACCGCCGTCCTCATTCTCCTGCCAGGCACAAAGAAGAAAGAAATCAAGGATCCAGCCACCCATCAAACTTGAACTCAGCCCCTCACCCTCCTCTTTTCTTCTCTGATGAAGACCTTACACTTCAGGTGTCCAAGGCTTCAGGCCCTGACGTCTTAGAGACCTCACTGAGCGACGCGGACTGTGCTCTCAGTTACCACCCACTCTGCTTTCATCTCACCTCACACAATAAAAGACAAAGGAAGCACGCCGCTATCCCTCCTTTATCACACATGTGGAGATAGAGTATATGCAACAATCAACACTCAGCAAGTAATGGATCAAGTTGCATAACTATAAATATTTATAAGATAAAATACAATTAATAAAATTTAGATTTTTAAATAAGCTTTCAATTGCATAGACTATGAAAGAAAAATTTAAAAATTAAGATACTACATAATAAAGTTAATAAAGTGCTTACAATGTATAATTAAAAAGAATAAACTCTTATATGTGCCTGTTGCTATCCACCATGTTTGTAAATATTAATGTTAATTCAAGGACATAAAGATTGGAAACAGCCAAACCGGTTTGGCTCAGTGGATAGAGCGTCGGCCTGCGGACTGAAAGGTCCCAGGTTCGATTCCGGACAAGGGCATGTACCTTGGTTGCGGGCACATCCCCAGTAGGAGGTGTGCAGGAAGCAGCTGGTCGATGTTTCTCTCTCATCGATGTTTCTAACTCTCTATCCCTCTCCTTTCCTCTCTGTAAAAAATCAATAAAATATATTAAAAAAAAAAAAAAGACTGGAAACAAATGTGGAAAGTTAAAAAGATTGGATGTTTTATAGTGATCAGATTATATATGTGTATTTACTTGATTAACTTATTTTTGTTATATTAGTTTTGAAAATTAAAATAAGACTTCAGTAAAATTATAACAAGAACTTTCCAATCATCTAAATCAAAGCATTTAAAAATTTTTAAATTTTAGTTTCTGCATTAAAATTCTCAAGAATATTATTTAAAATTTGAAAGATATTGATCAATGCATTTAGAAATTTCAAGTAAAGGAAGATCTACAGCTATGCTTATATAAAGGCATCTGGATTTTGACATTTATCAGACAAATGTAATATTTTTATTACCTGATTAGAGGTGGATAAAACTTCATTACCTAGAGGATAAAACATAAAAAGAAACCAGCCTAAGAATGTTGGACATCACAGTTTGGGGCTGAGGAGTGGTGACAAGGGTAGAATGCAGCGGTAAACTGTAAAGAGGCCCACCTGACACTGAGCTTTTCAAGGCTCTGGGACAAGATCATGGAAGAACATATGTTCTGAAGCAGCATCAGTACTGTTTCTGTGTAAATGGTACACACCAAAGCTGCTGGAGAACAGTGGAATTTGGAAGTGGGTAACACAATTTTGCCCACAAACATGCTATGGCAAGTATGAAGGAAGAATGATTATAGTTATAAATTTAAGATAGAACTTCCATAAAAGCATCACAGGAAAATCGTATTTTTAAGATGAATAATCATTATAGAGATAGGTACTGAAATAAGAGTAAGTTCTTCAGATTAAATACGAAGGTTGATTACATATATGAATACTGAAGCAATTTATACATATGTTAATCTGATATCCACTGTAATATATTTTTTCTTTTTCCTCTTTTTTTTTCTTTTCTACCACTACATATATATTTTTTAATCCTGACCTGAGGATATTTTTCCATTGATTTTTGGAGAGAAGGGAAGAGAGAGGGAAAGACAGAGAGAAATATCAATGTGAGAGAAGCACGTCAATTGGTTGCCTCCTGCATGAGCCCCGACCAGGGCCGGGGAAGAGCCTGAAACCGTGGTATATGCCCTTGACTGGAGTTGAACCTGGGACTCTTCTAGACCACCTTCTGGACAACCTTCCAGACGAAGCCGGGGCTGCGAGGAAAGCCCAGGTTTGGGGTCCCAGAGGGAAGCCGGTGCTAGCAGCTGGGGAAAGGAAGGCCCACTCTTGCATGAATTTCATGCATCGGGCCTCTAGTATGTTAATTTCTAATAACTAATCATTCTGCACAAATAAAAAGTCATGTTCAATGCAGTGCTTTCAAATATAAAATGCTACATATATCCATAAAACCACATATCTTCATAAATGCAATAATTTAATTAAACAACTATGTTTTGACTTTAATAGTGCTTTATAATCATAAACTGAGGAAATTATGTAGCCTAGAAATAGAATTCAGTTGTAGCATTAGAGACAGCAGTTTGGAGGACGAAGTGTCAGTGTGATAGGCATCAGAAAATCAAGGACCAGTGGTCCCACGGTTGGTGCTGAAGATGTTAAAATGTTTAGACACAAGCATAGTTAGTCTCTGATTAAAAACATGGAATTTGCCATTACGAAGCTAAAGGTCAGTTGAATTAACCTTCTGAGTAGACTTCTTATTTGAAGTTAGGGCATGGATTGGGGGGAAATATGACCCTTAGAATCAGAATGAGAACAACTGAGAGAAGGTCTGAGGATGCAATGAAGCTGGACGCCAGCCTCCAACAAGTCTCTCTTGTCAGATGAAGTGCTCCCTCTGGTCTTGGATAATGAGGTTCTTTCTTCCTCAGCTGAAAAGGGGAGACTCTGCTTCTTCGTCTTTTCCAGCTTCTAGAGGTTGCACTCATTCCTCGGATGCTGCCCCTCTGTGCTAGCGACCTAAGGCCAGCAACGGCAGTTCAGATCCTCTCCCACCGCACCGCCCTGCACTGTACGGACCTTTGTGCTTACCCGCTGCTCACCTGGGTAATCCAGGGTGCTCCACCCACCTTCACACCCTTAATGCCATCACATCCTCAATGTCCCCTTTGTCATATTTTTTTAAAGCAGATTCAAACGCACATCTTTTGGGGCTTTTATTCTGCCTACCGCACATGTATTCTATTTTATTTAAAAAACATGAATATATCTAAAGATTTAAGAGTATAAGAATATTAAAGTGAATATGTTAATGTAACCTTATTATCTTTCTGACAATATCCCGTAAAATGACAAGGAAAGCCTTTCTTTCTTCAAGGCCATGAGATAATACATTAGAGAGCACCATGTTGTTTTCTGAAATGCTAATTTCTCTTGCTGTGTGTGTTTTTTTTTTTGTTTGTTTGTTTTTTTTTTTTTTGTAAACGTGGTAGCCCTGTTGTGATTTGTAAGACCTTAGTACACTACAGCGGCTACTCTGCAATTCAATTCAATAATTGTGATTGACTTCAACAGTTGGTATCAGGAATTGTTAAAAGCAACACACTCCCCAAAGTGTGAGAATCTGGTCTTAGTTATATCACCTGGTTTGGTTCAGAGGCAGAAAGGGTGCCATGAGTGTTAATATATGGACACAAATGGTCCATGATATGCATGGCAAAAGGTTTATTAAAGTTTACCTGTGGTCACCGGGATGGAAGAGGCCAGCCTAAAAGACTGCTTAAACAGGCCATTACAGAAAGAATGCGGAATGTAGACACTGACCTGTGATCCAATTGCTTCTGGAGTACATAAGCAGAGAATATGATGCATTCATGCCTTTAAAGTTGTGATTCAATAAATAAGGCATAGTTCTAATAAGTAGACATTGATTTTTAAATGTTATTTTCACAACCAGAATCTAAAGTTGTAGTATTTTTAAATTTTAAGACGATTTTCCATATGAAGAAACCAAAATTTAAAGAATATAAGTAACTTGCCTCAAAGTTGATATATATGGCAAAGAACTTTGGTAAAATCCACAGCACAGAACTAGCAGACACTGGCGCTTTAAAGATGGGGTGGAGTCGGTGGATCTGGCTCTCAGCTCCTCCCAGAACCAAACTGGAAATACAACTCAATTGGGGAACAATCACCCTGAATTACTAACTAAAGACTACCTGAAAAGGGAACTTATTTACTTTTATTTTTTAAAATACATTTTTATTGATTTCAGAGAGGAAGGGAGAAGAGATAGAAACATCAACGATGAGAGAGAGTCATTGATTGGCTGCCTCCTGTTCGGGCCACACTGGGGATTGAGCCTGTAACCCGGGCATGGGCTCTGACTGGGAATGAACCATGACCTCCTAGTTCATAGATTGACGCTCAACCACTGGCTGGGCTGAGGAGACTTTTAAACAAGGACGGACGGAAGAAGCCACCTCGAGGATGGTAGGAAGGGTGGAGATGTGATGTGCCAGGGCTGGCCCTGCTCCCACAGGCAGTGCTGAGGTTATGGAGGGATATCTCAGCAGCAAGAGGTTCCCCTGAGAGGCGTGAAGGCTAAACACCAAGCCAGGCTCCCCAGCCCAGAGCGCCAGAGCTGGGAACAGGTGCCCATAGAGCATCCAGCTGTAAAAGGTGGCAGGGTTTCTGAATGCCAAGGAGAGGCGCAGCCCCTTTGAGACAAGGGCACCCTCTCAAAGGGCCAACTCACAAAATTTTGTTCGCAGCCACTCACCCTGGGCTCAGGTGACTCACGTCTGTCACCTGAGGAGAATCTGGGGCTGTGGCTCTGGGAGACAGGGGGGGAACAGCCACCAGGACCCCTGTACTGAGTCATCCTCCAGGTCCACAGCAGCCATCGTTCTGCGGCAGAGAGGTCCTCTCTGCGCAGTACCAGCCTGGGGAAAAGCAGTAACCCACCCTCTGGAATCCTGCTCACGCACAGAGCAATAGTAACCCTGCTGAGGAGTCAGTGGCACCGGCTGGGACGCAGCAGTCTGGGCAGACTCAGGGGTGTCAGTGACCAGCTGTGGGATTAGGTCATTCCCTCCAATTTCCCATGAACCCGACTGGTGCTTCCCTCTCATGGGAGATCCGATAGGAATACCCTCCCAACTTCTGGGCTCCAGAGGCCCCACCCACCTGACTCCTAGGGGCCCTGCTCGCAAGGTCGGGAAAAATCCGAGACAGACGCAGAGGTGTGACTCTGGGGCAAGGGCTCACACCCACCATCTTCCCTGAAGCTGAAAACACCTCCCCCTCGTGGGAGACCCAATAGCCCCACCCTCCTGATTCGACCAGAGGACCTTTCAGTGACTGAGCCTTTTCAGTGACTAAGCCTAAAAGCCAGGCAGCAGGCCCAGGCAGTGGGGTAGACCCTGGGTGCCTTGGGACACTTGCTGCCAGGCCTCTAAGCCCTGTGCTAGCAAAAGCTGGCCTTAGAGCGCAGCTTGGTCCTTCCCGTGCACAGCCGAGCCCAGCAGAGGAAGCCGCAAACTGTGGATCCCTTGTAGCTTCACACAGGGGACTGAGAGCCAGGCACAGACAGCAGTCTGACATTGGCTTACAAAAGAGTCCTCCAAAGAGGCCCAGAGCCAGCACAGCAAGTGGCCAGCTTCGTACAGCGTCAGAGCAGGATGCCTCTTGGCCATCTGTATGTCCCCTTTGGAGAAGTAGCTATTTAGGTCCTTTGCCCATTTTCTAACTGGATTGTTTGACTTCCTTTTGTTAAGTTGCTTTGAATCTGTAGATTGCTTTGGGTAGTCTGGACATTTTAATGATGTTGATTCTACCAATCCATGAACACGGTATATTCTTCCAGTTGTTTATATCTTCTTCTATCTCTTTTTTCAACATCCTGTAGTTTTCTGGGTACAAGTCTTTTACTCCTTGGTTAAGTTTATTCCTACATATATTAATTTTTTTGTTGCAATGGTAAATTGGACTGTTTGTTAAGTTTCTCTTTGCCGAATTAATTTATTAAATCTAGGGTTTTCTAGTACCATATCATGTCATCTGCGAATAATGAGAGTTTTACTTGCTCCTTTCCAATTTGGATGCCTTTTATTTCTTCTTCTTGTCTGATCACTGTGGCTAGGACTTCCAGTACTATGTTGAATAAGACTGGTGAAAACAGCCCTAGTCGTTTTGGCTAAGTGGATAGGGCATCAGCCTGTGGACTAAAGGATCCCAGGTTTGAGTCCATTCAAGGGCACATGCCTGGGTTTTGGGCTCAATCCCTAATAGGGGGCATGCAGGAGGCAGCTGGTCAGTGATTCTCATCATTGATACTTCAATCTCTCCCTCTCCCTCTCCCTTCCTCTTTGAAATCAATTTAAAAACAAAACAAAAAGGACTGGTGAAAGCAGACATCCCTGGCTTGTTCCTGTTCTTAGGGGAAATGGTTTTAGTTTTCGCCCATTGAGTATGATGTTAG